AGATCTGAAGTGCTGCAGAGCAGAGTAAGTGCTGCTGTGGGAGATGATGAACAGCAGCTGAAGCTGCTCTGACTGGCGGTGTCTGTAAAGACTGAAGCCAGACTGCAGAGGCAGGCCAGAAAGGGCAGAGTGGGCGTCATAAGTCTCTCCTATTACAGTGCACAGAGTGGAGAGGCCAATAACTCTGCTGGAGAGCTCCAGTTGAGTTATAAAATGTTTTGCACATAAAGTCAAAAGTATAAGTACTGCCACTGTAGCTGGAATTGGTGCTTATACTTCTGTCATGGACTCTAAAACAGATCAGAAAGGGAACACTGACTTCATATTTCATTGTAACAATAATCAGAGTATTTCATTGTGGCTGTCTGTCATATTGGGGTGTAAATGAAACAGAAAAAAAAAACCTACTTGGTATCCATCCCATGATGCACCTGTATGGAGATTTGTGCACCTAAACCCAATGAAACAACTCGATGCAGTAAAAAAACACTTAAGTGAAACAGGAAACACATTTACAGTCTGCCTGCTTATTTCTGCTTCAAAACAACATTATATGTGAACTTTATCTGGTTATATATTGGAGCAAAGCACATTCGTGATTCATATTCATCATGGAGTATGTGTAAATTTAGATTCAGTACCTTCACATTGTAGCATTATTAGGCATGTTATCTGTAATGTTACATTGTAACGTTCATAACCTTTTCAGATATAATGTGTCAAAACACTTGATTTGATGATAGTAAATGATTATTTGGCTGCTTTAAAAACTCTTAGTGTTAAAACTGAACAGAGAAAGTTCTTCACTTCTTTACACCCTCTTGCATGTAAATCTGCTGCCGGCTCCACTCAACAACTGTAGGCTCTGAATGCCGAGCTCAAGAGAAAAACAACAGTTGGCCTAAAAGCAGGAGAGCAATTTTCTTTTACTTCCCTGCTAAGATTTTCCCCAACGAGCCAGAGAATCAAATTGTTGACCTTTAAAACACAAGAAGGCTGCATCTCTGTGCCTTCAGGCTGCCACAGCAGAGGGAACGTTAAGAGCGGAGAGGGCCCAGCTGTACCTGCTATAAATACTAGAAACTCAGAAAAGACACAGGAAACAAATACCACCTGTCTACAGCGCACTGCTACAGACAACTCCATCAAAAATGGTGCTAATGAACTAATTGACTCTTATAATTCTTTGCTTTTGTGTAGCTAACAGTGAAGTCAGGCATGATGTCATGCTGAACAGTCCCTTCTTTCTTCCCTTTTTCGTTCATCAGACTCTTCTACTTCCAGCTGCTCCCTTAAGGGTTACCACTGCAAATCATTTGCCTCCATCTCACCCCATCTCTAGCATCCTCCTCTATTAAATCAGCCCCCTGCATGCCCTTTTCCAGTTCTTGCATACATCTTCTTTGTGGTCTTCCTATTTTACTCCTTCCTGTTAGCTCCATATTTAGCCTTCCTTGTCTAATACATCCTGGTTGACCGCAAGTATTAAAACTTATCACAACCTCTAGAGCTTGTAGCTGCTCCCGGATGTAACCCCACTGCCACCTTAAGCCCATCTGTCACTCCTACCTCACCATTGTCTCGCTGTCCTCATACATGTACACATAATTCACACAATTGTGACCTCTCCAACATCGTGTTAAGCAATCTGGTGAAAGTTTACTGCCCTCCTTCCTACATATACTTTCACAGGTATGTCATCTGTACCAACCACCTGTCCACTCTTCCTCCTTCTTAGTTCTCTGCTCTTTCCTGCATCCATCCTCTGCTCTTCTGTTTTCTTCATCCATCAGCTTCTTTCCAGCTTGATCTGTCTGTCTAGACAATTGTTAGAAGTCATTTTCTCCTTTCTTATATATATTTGTTTTTTGCATGATTTTAAACTAAGAAGGAAAGCAGCAGCCCAACTATAAAAATTCATCATTCATTCGATATGTAGTTAATTGTGCCTAAAGTCTGTGTAAATATTTTTGCTTTCATATGACACATTTTGCAAATATTTCTTTAAAAGAAAAAAAAATAGAAACAAAATTTGAATCCTCAAAGCAGAATTTCACGACCTAGTGGATGATGTTGCACAGATGGTGTGCATTTCTGCAGTCTATATTTATGACATACACTGTTATGTTCAACTGATAAATTCCACTCATGGATATATTAATAACAATGGTTATTGTGAATTTAAGACTAAATAAAAGTTTAATAAATAAAGTTTAATGCATAACACAATCCATGATGGTTCTCTGACTATATTGTTTTTGTAACTCGATACATTTACAATCACAATAGCAACAGTTTTAGAAGTTACTCACAAAGATATTAAATTAATTAATTAGAGTCAAAGAAATAACAGATTACAATGTTTTGAGTCATTATTATATACTGCAGTTCTCTTGTGGGTGGAGATAAAAAGAAATCAATCTGTTTGAGTGGGCTGTGGCATCTCGTTTAGCCTGCTGACATCAACCTGCCTGGCTTTAGTGCTCAGCTGTGAGCACAATGCTGTCCTGGTCATGGGGAAAATGATCACATCACCCCCACAGTTCAATCTGAAATTATGTGTTTGGATGCTAAAAGTGCTCCCTCCATTTGTAGGCTTGAAAATTGTCACATTCATGTCATTGGTGTCTGGTTAAAATGAGAATTAAGGCTGCGGCCACATTTCAAACTGTCATCTGTCACCCCTGGAAATGTTTCATAATGACCCTCAATTATGTATTCTGGATGATGTTGCTAGGTGACCACACTGGCTAAGTGGCTAATGGGATCAGCCGGTGGTCACTCAGAATTGTGGGCTTTAAGCCGGCCAACACTCAAAAGCCGAAAACTCCCTAAGAAAACCACATCTGGTGATAAAGATTCCATCATCGAGGATGGGCTGCTTATTTGCCTTTTTCCACAAAGTGTTACAAAAAATGGATTACATAGATTCATTCATTACCATTTCACTATTCATGTCTAGTTTACATTGCTAAAATATAACTATTGTAGCAGGACTTGTTTTCCATCTGCAGTTACACTGACTCTTTCACAAAGACATTTTTCGTTATACAAAAATAGTAAAAAATGTTTGATAGCCTACATTTTTTCCACGTTGGGGTTTGCAGCTCTGCTGGCTGCTGCAGCTTCCTGATTTCCCAGCAGGATGAGTCTGACTTCATCTTATCTTCCATTATCACTTCCCCCCCTTTGTCTACACCTGTCTGATGACTGAATCACGCTGAGGAGCCACACTGCTCCATAAAGACCCTTGCGTGAATGTCTTTATTAGCAGTTGTTTGCCCTACGCTGGGTTTTTTTTCTGTCTACATTTGAATCCTCCAGGAAATGGATTAAGGACCAAATTAATACCACTTATTGTGACAATGTCATTACACCCTCCAACTGAAATGTTAGCTAAAGTGCTGATCTGATATCTGCTGCCTGAATCCAAATTAGTTTCTCAGTTTACTCCCTCTTTATTTCTCAGTGAGCCGCTCACTTCCCCACACCCTGAACAGCCTCCAACATGGCGGAGAACATGCTTATAACTGCCCACTCAGGGATGATGTGTGTTTTGAGCAATCAGACAGAAGAGAAATCGCTCTCACTTTCTGCCCTTACTTGTGGCTTGTAGCACAAACACAAACAGCAGAATGAAGCGGTGAGAGTGCACATAAACACAATTACTTAGCAAACTCACCACTCTGTCAACTTACACATCAAAACATGAACAAAACAACATGTCATACACTCTCTTAGAAGAAATTTTAGCTACTACCACACAGAGACCGCCATATGCAGCACTTCACACATGACTTCTAGCTATACAACAGCTGAACCACATCATACTTGCAATCTCATGCCTCATGCCTACAGTGTTACCTTGGCACCCTGGGAGTCCAGAAGCAACCACCTTTCTGCTGAATGAGTGCAATGAGAAAAATTGCTGGATACACGGTATGCAAGCAGTATGGTGACAGGAGGTATCACCCTGGAGTAAAATTTATAAAGTGGATATTGGTGCCGTCAAAAAAAGCAGATGGACTCACAGAAAGGCAAATGAAAATCAATGGTTATGACAATTTGCATATTTGTGATCAAGAAACTGACCTCACAGCCGATTGCCCACCCTCCAACTCCAGGTTGACAAAATCCCAGTTGCTTCATTTTTCTTTTGCTTTCTACTTTCACCTCTGAGGTGAGAAAGCAGGTCTTCCACTGCTCTGATCTTAAAGCGTGTGGCCTTGTGTGACCTGGCCACTCTAAGATCTCTTGACGTTGTACTCTCCAAACAGACACCATGAAAGTCTCCTAACTAAAGTTGCAAGACCCTGCAGAAGAGACCCTGGTTAGCTTAGTACACACCACTAACAAGGTGAAAAGGTTTAAGTTTAAGTTGTTCCTTCATCAAGAGCAACAGAACAAGTTTGCACAGTGCCATGAGACCCATGCATGTCTTTGGAACCAGGCCTCTGGAAGGATAGCATCAAAAAAACCGAACCCTTCAGCAAGAACTAAAACCCTGAATGAGCACATCAGCCTGACAGACAGACATAATCCCTAATATAACAAACTATATTCAAGGAACGTATGCTGGTAAATCTGTGCAAATGTTGTTGTTTGATTGTAGGAATGGTGCCAATTTGCTATGTGTAAAAGATTAACAAAACAACTGAACTGAGGTCACAAGGTTTCCATGACATCCACTGTGACCAACCTGTCACAAAAGGAGCTGATGATGTAGGGGCAGCAGACACAAAGACTCCACTGGGGTTTCTACACTGGACTGTTTTATTTCCCAGTTCAAGGTATTTCAGTGCAAGGCAGTAATAAACACAGTAACACCCACCCATCCATCCATCCATCCATCCATCCATCCATCCATCCATCCATCCATCCATCCATCCATCCATCCATCCATCCACCCATCCATCTATCCTCCATCCATCCATCCATCCATCCATCCATCCATCCATCCACCCATCCACCCATCCATCCATCCGCTATCTTTTTCTTACCTGTATATGAGTATATCATCTGTGGAACTGTTGTACTGGATCTGGTACATGCGCACTCCTGGTATGTGGTTCTGTGGAGGCCATCTAATGGTGGCAGAGCTGGACGTCAGATCCGACACGCTGACCCTGTGCTGGTCAGAGCGGGCCTGGCCTCCGCTGATATTGGATTTGATGGACGTAGGGATGTCTGAAGGCCCCGGGTCAGGGTCCAGCTTGGGGTCAAAGTGTGGAGAAGGGTTCACGACTAACTCGACAGGAGCAGTGGCCTCCCCGGCAGCATTGGACGCTATACAGGTGAACTTTCCAGAATCCTAGAAATCATTTAAAAAGATAAGAAAAAAGCCAACATTTATCCAAATTATCAACCCCATAAATCCAAATTATAATGAACATTATTTTTATAGTTATTTTGTTTTCATATAGTAATGTACGTTTTCTTCAATAAATGAATAAATAGGTTGTTTTAGTAAAAGCTGTTTGATATATATGTCTACCAAAATGCACATCATACAAATTTAAATTTACAAACCACGATTTGTTTGTTTTTTAACAGGCTTGAACAAACATAGCTTGTTTAGTGACAATCTTGTATCAAACCAATTTTAAATGAGTTACTATTCTGCAAAATGAAGGTACCAGAGCCAGTTACACTTACTGATGCAGCATTAATCTAGCACATTTATAATAAACCTTTGCATATCTATATTCCTTGAAAATGAAAGTGCTTCTCTACCTTGACGGAGGCCTTGAGAATGTCAAGGGAACCATTCTCGTAGCAGATTGTTCTCGATGTGTTTCCAATCAACTTCCCATCTGGACTGACCCAGTGTGTTGACGGCTCAGGGTCACCGATGGACTTGCATCGCAGGCTGACTTCCTGACCCTCCATTACAAACATCTTGGAGGTGTGGCGCGTTATCATTGGTGGCTCACAAACAAACTCCTCCTGTGAGGGGAGACATGAACTCTCATTTATCCAGAAATGTAATTGTTAGATAGATACAGCTAAATCGGTAAACAACAGATGGAACAGGTGAAATGTATCCAGTGGGATTAAAGTGCATCTTTTCATGAAAAACAATATTTTTTTTCTGCTTCTGCTAACACCAGCAGTGCATTCTTCCAACAGCAGAGTTGCAGAAGGAGTTTGGTTGTTTGCACATTAAGATTAAGAGATCTCAGAGTTTCTCAGCCCTTGCATTATTTAAAACCCACCCACTGGCACCTAAGCCTGTGTAAAGCCAACCAAAACCCTGGTGGAGTATTACTGCGAGGCCAAGGAGGGGCAGCCGAGGCTTATCGGGGCTTACTCATCATTCCTACTACTCAGCAAGTCTCCGAACCTTTTTCAGGGTCTTTTTTTACCAGCAGAGATGATTGCTGACCTGATGACCGCTGGGCTGGAGCGTCAAATAAACCACTAGGGCCTTTCAGTCCTGTATTACATTTTGACCCTCAATTGCTTCTGTGAATCTCAGGGTAAAAGACTGTGATTGAATTGGGTTGTTTCCCAGCGTGAGCATGTGAAAGTGTGAAAGTAGGAGAATGTGAAGTCAGGGCCTTGAATGAAAACTAGTATGAATACTCGTTCACTTGCCTTACAGAAGTGGATAAACAAAATATCCTGTTTGTCCCACTAAATTCAACTAGTACCAACTCCCCCTCGTTGTCCGAGAATATTTAAGCATCAGTCAAGAAACAGAGCAGATGGAAAGAGCAGCCGAGCTGATGCCAAAGCAGGAATTCCCTTGCTGGCCGACTGCTGATGTCTGACCTTTGTTGGAAACTGTGGAGGGTTTTTTGTTCTTGCAATGGCAAAGAGGCTATTAACTCTCTGAGTATTAATATGCCCACTCACTTTGGTGACACAGTGGTCTCTGGACAAACCTCTTCACGAGGCTAATCCTCTTAGAGTTATCATACAGCACCTGAATCAAAGGTCTCTACATCATCCTCTTTAAAATGATACCAGTTAATCCTATCTTCACCTCAAAGTGCACCTCCACTATTATCCAGGTAAAAAAAGTGCTTGGTATCAGCCACTTTAAGGGAACAACTTAAACTTTTATTGTTTTTTTTAATCTGGTGTGCTTAGTTTTAACACCAGCAGCAACAGCAGATCTGCTTTTTATTGGTTTTTTTTTCTGCCTTTTATAATATGATATTAATGCATTAATATACAAACATGAAAGAGAAAAAAATTGTAGTATTATGGCCTTTCAGGTTGTAGATATTAAAGTCAGGTGTTAGTGTAGAAATACTCTTGTCTTCTGTCTTCTTCTTAGCTCAAAATGTATACGTGAAGTGAGTAGAAAGACTACAAACGGTCATGGATGCCTGTGTTCTCATACACCAATGACATCACAGCAGTTCTTTTGCCGGGTACATGCCCAAAAATTACACTACACTAAAATCTCGAGTTTGAGTTTCAACAGCTGCTGTTTGTGGCTCTGTAAAGTCGACTTTTAATGCAATCTGCAGTGTTTTCAGCCAGAGATGTGCATGGCACATTGTGTTATGTACTTTTTACAAAACACCCTAACCTTAATCCTAACCCACTTTTTACTTCCACATTTCTTTTCGTTCCTCTGCTGAAGTTTAGACTGTAAGATATGTCACATCAACAACAACAAATCTGCCAAACTGACAAGACGACAGTAAAATTTGATGCTCAAAATGAACCAATCCACCTCGAACGAGGATACAAACAATCTCAAGCTTTTGGTAAAAGTATGTTTTTGTATTTGAAATCATATTTATATATGAGACCGTTCTTACTCCCAACGTGTAACATACTGACGATTTGTCACGCCCCGAGGCGTCCCATAAAAACACCAAAGGTAACCTTCTGCATCCTATGATACGCGCCGGTGTGGATGGAATCCAATAGAATGACTCTCCGGCAGTAACACATGTTCCAGCCGTGTTTTTAACCCTAATCTTAATCCTAACCACAACCATAACCTTATCCCTAACATTAATCATTAAATAGTGTTTTCCAAAGCGATTCACAATGAGAAAGTAAAATAAATGTACATGTGTAGATTCATTCCAAATGGTTCTCATGTTTCTGAAGACGACATTGGCTGTGTTGTGTGTTACGTTTTGGGATGAGAACCTGTTGTATATATATCTATATATTAATATATAAAGCATGCTTGATTTTAGAAGGATGATTCAGCTCAGCATTTCTCTTTTATGATTTACTGTGAAAAGTAGTAGAAGTATATAAATGTGCAATAATAAATACGTCGGTGATGATAATGGCACAGTTCATATGCTTGCTTAAATAGTGATTATTTTTACAGCTTTACTTTCAGGAGAAACTGAGCCTGCTGCAGTGAGCTATTGCAGTTTTCTAACATATCACAGTGTTAAATATAACAAGGCTAACAAGAGAAAGCTGACTTTGTTGGGAAAATGATCGGGACTGCAAACATACTAAATGACAGAGATGTGTTCATTGTAAAAGTAGAAAGATTTCTGATGTTATGTAGGCACTGTTAGAGTTAACATCTTTTATTTTTCTGCCTGTTTATATTTTATTTAAAAAAAAAAAGCTTTTGTTCTATTGTATTGGTTTGCCTTTGTAACAAGTCTCCAGGGACTCTCCAGGGATGAAAAATAGCTTTGTCGCCACAGTTGCTGTAATGTTTATCTAATGTGTGGTGTCTCTGTTAAATAAACCAATAATAATACATGTATATGGATAAAAAACAAATATTGGGATCCATCTGTTTTAGTTTTGCCTCTCGTGGCCTCATTTTACTCTGTGCTTGATCACTGTGGCTCAATAAACCATATCCTGGGTTTTTGCTAGAACATAAGCCTCAACTTTTCCTCTATCATATAATATAATGAAACTCAGTCTTTCTAATGCATTTTTGCAGACCTAACTCCATGACTATACACTTTCAGCAGAAGGTTCACTCCGCTGTGACACCAACCGTCTGGCCTGCTGATATGTCCTTGAGAAAGAACGTGATTATGTCTCCACTGAGGGCTTCAGTTAAAGCAGCAGAAAATCAAATTTTGCTCTGTGGTTTAATGGTTCAAGGCACCAAAAACACTGAATTACACAATGAATATTTAGAAGTATATATTTTTGGTTTGAATTAAGGGTAATGGTGACTTGGAGCTCATTAAGTATGCCCTCCATGAGTATACACTTCAGACTGTTATCAAAAAAATGCATTCTTATAATTTAGACTCTAGAATCTATTACCAACAGTAGTGAGTTTGTTTTTACACAGTAGAAACCTCCTCAGCTCAGAGCATAAAAGTAATGCCAACACTGCAGTTCCTCTCACTGCCATGAAATGTTTAGAGCCTAATATAAAAATGGTTTTGGTCTCTATAATTAACTTAACCGTTTATAGCAGCTCTATGAGTAGATTTGGATTTTTAAAAAAAAAAACTATTATTGTGCTATGGCCACTTCATAAGACCTGTGGCTATAATAAGCTGCATGGTGACAGCCAAAAAGCTGGAGTCTGCAACAAAAAGATTGACATCAAGGTAAAAATGTATCAACATTCGTAGAGGTTTAGCAAATTGCAAATGTTACATTTCTGACCTATGTTTTAATTACTTTGGCTTAAGACTCTGTTAAAAAAACGTAAATAAAATAGAGTGCTTTATGTTGCTTTTGCTTTAGTTAACAAACAACATCATAGTGTATTAATTTGCAAGGTTTCAAAATGAGGTTTTAAAATACACAATAGCTTCAGCAAACCTCTCTTATGGTCCAGAAGTATTTGCCAGCCAGGTCTTTAGGTGAAGCGCAGGTCTCCAGATCGTCCTCTCTGGTCAGCCTGCGAAGCCAAACCAGCTCACAGTTACAGTGCAGAGGGTTCCCGCCAAAACTCAGCACCAGCGCTGTAAGAGGAGAGCCCTTCATCTTGGCGTACACCGGGATCCGCAGGAACAGTGGGTCTGGAGGTATTTTCTTCAGCTTGTTAGAGGTCATGTCAAGCCTGGTGACACAACACAGAGAGTTCATATTTTTCCATCACAGTTATTTTTCTGGCAGTTTTAATGAAAGCTTTGAACATTCTGGAGATTAGAAGAAGATCCATGCCATGATCCTGATCAGCGGACCTCTTCAGAAACAAAATAATAATTATTATAAATGTGGTGAAAATCTATGTGGATGAAGTGGGAGGAGAGGAGATGGGTAGTTCATCGATCAGGTGGGTGGACATGTCCAAAGGTGAGATAGAGGGATGGAAGGAAGAGGAGAGAGAAAGGTCAACGATAAGGGAGAAAGTGTGGGGAGGGGAGCTGAACACGGCTGCACTCAGTCAGCCAGCAGTTCTGCTCTTCTGTCTTGTTGGATTGTAGTTAAAAGAATCACACATTTCTGCAGAAGGTTATTAATCTCAACAGTGTTTCCACACATTTTATTTTAGAAATAAAAGAAAAGTCTGTAAAGTTGAGAAAAATGTGTCTTTTTCCCCTCTCTGGCTGCCACTGAGGAGAAATTCAGTCTTTAAAAAACGGGCCGATTCAATCACTTACAGTTAAATAAAAAAATAAAAGCCACAATCATTTCAAAAAGCAAGTAAGTCTTCAAACACACACAGAGAATAACCCTTGTATGTAGACGACTGCCTCCAAACCCAGTGTCATGTGATGAGGTGAGTCAGTATCTGTCATACACCAGTGGGCTCCTTTACCCCCCTGGATGAGACTGCCCTCGCCTGTGCTGGAGGAAAATGGGCCTATGTGGCTGTCGTGGGAGACAGGAATACTGGTGCCCCATTCCTGTGACTCCTGCGACATGCAGAGCGACGTGGTTCCTTGTTTTTGTATTCACTTCTGAATCACATTTAGTCTGACCATTCACCCAGAACCACTTTGCTTTGGAAAAGCTTAACAGGAGCAACTTGCCCCAATAACATAGTTCTCAGAATCACTTTAGGATATAATTCCCTCCATCCTGTTAAGATGTTGATCCCTGAAGGGATCAGAGGCTGCAGCTCTCAGACAGTAAATGGTGGAGTAGTCTGGGTGGTGAAAAGTGGCTGCCCCAAGTGGAGAAGTTCAAGTATCGCAGGGTTTGTTCATGAGTGGTCATGAATGAAGGGAGAGTGGAGCAGGACACTGACAAATGTGAGGTGCGATAGAGATAGTTTGCATTTTCTCTCTTTGCCTGCATTCTGGAGGTTTCTTCCTGTTAAAAGGGAGTTTTTCCTCCCCACCGTTGCCAAATGCTTACTCATAGAGAATCAGTGTATGCTTAAATGTGCTTTATGGTCTAATTTGTATGAAAAGTACTATAAAAATGCAAGTCCAGCCAGCACTAGAAAATAGATGGTAAGAAAAATGGTGCAAAATTTTTGTCCAATCCAACACACAGACTCACGAGTGACATCAAAGGCAGTTGAAGTCTTCTCACACGTTCCAAACAGCATGTAGAAAATCTGAAATTAAAGCTTGTGACCGCATCACAAAGCGACATCAGAAGGAAGAGACCTAACAACATACATATATTCCATGGTGGCTTTTCCATCAACCATTCGTCGTCTCCGAGGATTGAATAGTAATTTTCCTCAGCAAAACATTGGGCCCGGTAATAACGCAGGAGAGTCAAGCTTTCACTGCTGTCAGCAACAAATACAGGAAAGTGTATTTCCCTCTAGAAGGTCCCCGCAGAAATATTCACCAACAACGATGACTTAACAAGAAGTTAATGGCTGTGACAGCAGCGCACAATCTGCACTTGACAAATTTCAATTATGTTATTTCATGTGCAGCAGGCTTGTGGTGTATTATTTGTGAGTGTGTGTGTGTAAAATATATGTGGAGGCAAATGTTCTCCTGTGCACCAACAAACACTGAGTAAAAAATGTGTCTGCAGGGCAAAAATATCTAATTGAACCTTTAAAAAATGCTTGAATATTTATCCATAGTTGCCTTTAAAACATCAATCAGGGACTTGAATGAAAATTGATTTCAGCTAATGAGCTTTAAATGCTATTTTTTGCCAGTTGGGGGGAAATTACGTCACACATAAACTAGCTTCAGCATAAAAACAGCATTTTGATTGGGGAGCTGTCACTGGTGATTCATTGGCTTTTAGACAGGTCTGCTGTTGTGAATCACATGCTTGACTATGATGCAAGAGCATTTAGACATTTCATTAATTTTTTTTAAAGAATTGTATCCTTCTTTCCAAAAAACATTAATTTCAGCCTTGTTTTAAAGACTATTTATCTTCTGTTAGTTTTTTCCCTTTTACACATAAATGAGTGATCATTGTTAATGAGCTTTAAATGGCATTTTGTGCTTCTTGACTGAATTTACTCCCCATATAATAAGAGCATTAATGCAATGTTGGCATTTATCAGTCAATTATAAGATTTTCTGCAGTTTGGATTGGGACTGGAGAGCACAGAGCACTGCAAACATTTAAACAGTGTGTAACCAGCTCTAAGAACAGAGACATGGAGAAGAAGTCTGCCTGCAGAGGAGCAGTCCAGGTCACTATTTCAAATCCCCGTTGAATGAGGGCTGCAACAATTACGATCGTCCAATATTGACGTGCCTGCAGGCAAAATGCTGAACCTGCAGCTGCTCAGGTGAAGGCGTAATACAGTCCTGGTCATAGGGGGCATTTCTCAGGTTCAGAGCATAGAGCTGTTGAACAGCTTTCCTCCAAAGCGAGCTGATACTCAAAGGCTTAATTTCCATTAAAATGAGCTTCAAAACTGAAGGATTTGCTGTGTGATTTTAGTTCCACCATATCGTAAAAGAAACTCAGAAGAATTAAGCTATATATATAAATATGTAAAGCTCTTTGAGTTGTGTGTGTGTGTGCATGTATTAATAAAACATAATTTTACAAGGTTTATTTTAATTTTAAAGCCTCAGTGCAAATAAAAACTCCTGCACATAATGTGTATTCTGGCAGGACAGAAAGAACTCTTTTAATAAGCCCTTTATTCTTTATCCATTCAGATATTTCTGTCACTGGAATGATGGCAGCTTTAAATAATCTTCCTAGAAACGAATTTTTTAATACTATGAATTTTTTCCACAGTTGTTATAATTCTGCCTTTCTATCTCAAGCATATTTAACCAGAAATGTTCATGTCCTAAGAGCATATTGGGTTCTTCAGCTGCTGCATGTTTCACTGTCTTTGCCAGCTGGTTTCTGACGGTGTCATCGGGGCAGACATAGGGCAAGCAAGCTGGCTTGGGAAAGCCTTGGAATACCCCAGAAGAGCTAAAGAGAGACTGCGGGATGAGGGCTGTCTGAGCACCTATATATAGACTGTTCTGTCACGAGGGTGGATGGATGGATGGATGGACTGGTGAGGCTTTTAAGGTTTAGAGTCCCAAGATTCTTTTTCATCTGGATCATCTTCTACACTCTCCAAACTTGACAAGCAACCTGAAGCTCCTCCCCTTTCCTCCCCTTTCTACTGGTCATTAAGTAAGTACACGCATTAGGTGGACCATGTGTGTAATACACATGCTGGTCCATGTGTCCATTTCACGCTTTGCCTCTCCAAAATTCGAAATGCACACACATGAAGACGTTGCATTAAGTTGCAGAAACAGAAGCCAACATGTAAATAATCACTGGAAGATGTTTAAACAGCCATTATTAACTCATTTACATGGATAGACATATTAATCCAAGGACCCTGAAATGTGCATACGTTTCTTGCTCACTAGAGACTTCGTGGCTTTAAATATATTATCTCCCCCTGCTGCGAACGCAACTTCTGCATGTCCATTACACGTTTCGTTGTGATACTGATTTGTGTAAGTGCAGGTGAATGGTAATTGGCAGTTTAAATTAAATACAGCTGGAGCTTTCATTTTCCCACTTCCAGTCAAACCCAGGCAGGCTGCAGCACTGCAGTGTTATGTGATCCTGACCTGGCCAGTTTGTGCAGGTTGGAGAAGATTCCCTCTGGGACGCTCTCTATGAGGTTGTGGTCCAGGCTGAGGGTGTTGACACTGACGAGCAAAGCAATGGTGTCCCAGGGGATTTCCACCAGGTTGTTGTAGCTCAGATCCAAATCCTCCAGAGTCTCCAGGAAGTCCTGTGAGGGCGACAGAGGCAGGATGCTATCAGTGACTTTAAAGGCTCAAAGTGGTATAATTTAAAAAAACAAGCATGACTTTGCTTTATCTTCAAGTGCTGAAGTATAGCATTAAAGGGTAAAGAGACAGATAATAAATAAGAAGGATATAAAATGGAAAAGAGATGAAAATGAAACTTGCAAATAAAAAAGGGAAGAAAAGAAGGAAGGCCCAACAGAAAAAAATACAAAAAATTCCATTTCCAACAAAAGTGGGGGAAATAAGTGCAAAGAAAATCTTTGGTACGATAAGAAAAGATACAAATTTAGAAATAGAAAGAATGAAACGTCCAGATGAACAGAATCATCTTTCTGGGAACTGAATCCAAACAAAGAAAAAATGGAATCAGTTACTGCGGTCAGTGGTGTACACTCCAAACCAGGCTCTTCTCTCTAATTGCCTCTAAACAATTCTCATAATGTGGACATAGATGAAATGTCACGAGTCAGCACACATTACAACGAGCAGAAACACAAAGACGGAGAAGAAGATGAAGCTGGATTGAAGGAGCGCAATAAAAGCCTGGCGATCAGCTAAAGTGTTGTTGCTGCTGTAATTGCTCTCATAATTCACACAATCAGGACAGTGTTTGAATGTCACAATGCCTTGATTCTCATTACAATAATCTATGCTTTATTGCTTTTTCAACAAAGGGAATCTCATTTCTCACTGACAAAAGAAACTTTAAGAGGCGTGAAGAGAAGTTCAAAGACAGCAGAACAGAGTCCCAACCGTTCCACGACTGTCCTCTCAAGAAAATGACTGATTTTGTTCAAACTGCTGAAAATAACTGTTTATGTGCAGTTTAATGGTGGGGAATCGGTGCTTGAAATAACTGGTTTTCACAGTGGGGACTGGAGTTTCCTACCATCATGCCCCAAAGCCAGTAGACGACGATCTCAGCCACGTGCAGCATGCTAACGAATAGCTTACAAATGAAGATGATATTTGTCTTGTGTTCCCATTTCACTGATTTTTGTTTGCTTCCTTCAGTGTTAGGCTCACAGTGTTACCAGTATTTGTACACAAACTGAACACATTGTTATAAAGTTTGGCTATCTGCCATTGTGACATTCTATACTTGGTTATATGACAGAAAATAAGCGAGAGTAGATCAAGGTTAGTGTATTGTGTTAATACATTATATTTATCTATGTTGGAGCCTCTTCCTTAGAGAATGTATATTAGACTTAAAGAAGAAGACGTTCTTCATGTATATTACCTGGCAGTGACTGACTGTGATTGGACAGCTGCAAACAAAATATACACTGAAGTCTCGTCAAGTGCAGTGTGTTGATATTTTTATGCATATGGACAAAAAAATTATGTTTTTTGTGTGCTGTCTGCAGGATGTTTGAAAACACTTGTATTTAAACTACATTTAGTGGAAATTGACTCTGAGTGCTGGATCTCAAGGGACTTTTAGTAAAATCAACTTTTAGCTATTATTATGATTTAGTTGGAGAAACAGCACTTGTTCTTAGATAATAAAGTCTTGAAAGTGAGAGCGACACGAAGGAGGAAGGAGGAGAGGGTCAACGCCATGTGTAAAATGAGACACTTTCTGATACAGCGAGTGAGAGCGAAGCAGTGAGGTTCGGACTAAAGTTCAGACAGTTCAATCCATTAGTGAGGTCAGAGTTCACGCCACTCTAGTTTATCTTCATGAAATGTCCGCAGAGGTCTGTGAGCCAGTCCTGAGGGGACACTTTTAGTCCTTTAATGAGCAGAGAAAGGACAGCATCATCAAGACGGGGGACACGGTTTATTCTAGGACCGGGTTATTAAAAAGGTGTCCAGCTGGGCGGCAGAGAGAGGCGGGTAGACAGGGCTGGCTGCTTCTGCTGGACTTTCGAGTTAGAGCCAAAAATGTTGTCTTACACAACACTTGACCCTCAGCACTGAAACTTTTCATTAATGACTTTGCAATAACTTTTCCACTCACGATCTTGGCTCTTGTGTGAACGCTTGGTTGACAACGAATGTTAAAAGCACCGATTAAAATTAGTTGGATTTAAAACACTTTGTTAGTGTAATTTGGGCTTACCCAGAGGAGCTGGTGGCAGCAGAAAGAGCAATTTAAACACTTCTAAGAGTTTTGCATCCTTTATGTGAGTGATTTTAGTTCATTTTCAGAGCAAGTTCTTAATTACACTGTGAAATGGTTTTGCGTATTGAGAAGCAGAGCTTAATTTGTAGGACCACTAGGATTATTTTTTAAATTGAAATCATAATTTTAAAGCTACTTAATGTCCGAGGTTAAATGGACATTTTTGTCCCTGTAGTTTTATTTATGTGTCTAGATTTTGGCCCAATTTCTGATACGAAATTAAATTAAAAAGTTCTTCTTCACGTGTCTTTGAGGACACGATCAAGATGGGGATTTCCGTTCTCCAGAGTTTCTTTACTGGTTTAATAAGAGTTAAAATATTTCTACATATTTAAAAAATATACATTTTCTCTGCATGAGCTGGATGTTCAGCTATGCTTTAGTACCTGAAAGGCTCCCTCTGATATACTGTGCAGCTGGTTGTTGGCCAGGATGAGGTGCCTCAGGTTGACCAGGCCCTGGAAGTGAGAGTCATCCAGCACGGTGAGGCGGTTGGCATCCAGGTGGAGGGCGTGGAGGTCCTGGAGATCGGCAAAGGTGTACGGCCTGATCTGGCTGATGGTGTTTCGACTTAGTGTCAGGTGGATCTGGACATGCAGGAAAACACAAGATCCACATTAAATGACCCATTTTCATGTAAAACACCAACACGTTGTTTGTTGCCAACTCAAAAATGGTGCAAAATGGATAAAAGCAATCTAATAAGGTTCACTTTGGCATATTTCTGTGTAGGGAGGTAAGGGATAGCTTATGAGTCACCACTTAAGATATAATGTTTAGTTTGAGGAGGTTGAACTCGCGGGTCTGTGGAGATTAAACTTGTATTTAACCTTCCACATTTTTTCATGAATGATACTAGTAATTAACGTGAGAGTACAATGGGTCAATGAATGAGTCCTGTATCCATTTATACTTAAAGCTATCATTAAAAAGCTCGCTGCTGAGGTCAGGAATTGCAGTCTGCTTAATACCTCCACTGTACACAAAATATGACAAAGATGCAAAAATATATTCTATTAACACCCAAGAAAGGGTCAATCAGCCCCCACACATTTCGAATCTGCTGTGGAAATGAGCCTCGATCACAGGGGACATCTGTGGCGCTCCGTCACGCTCATCACCAAACGATTAGAGCCTCATTTCCCACGTTTCCTTGTGTGTGAGCAAACATCTTCCATGCTGTTGTGCTCACACTAGAGAGAAAAGTTATTTTTCACACACTAAGGAAGTCTCCAGCTGTGACGAGTGTGTCTATTTGGTGCGTAAATATGGTGATGTTGGTGGTTTTCTTCTTGAGCTGCGTGCAGTGAAGCCTCGTTGCCCCCATTACTGTGATTACGGTGGGATTAATTAGTGAAATCCATTAAGATATCAGAAATGTCACCTCAGTCAACATGTTATGCTGTAAGGGGCAGATGTTCCTAATGTTTTCTGAGCTCTCTGTGGAATAAACATGACATGTTGCCTCATTTCTTACTTTCACATTCAGAGTTTTCTTTACTCTGACTGATGAATGCTTGCAAACCCTCACAGATAACACCATTAATCTGTGATGCACGGTTTATTTCTGAGTTTATTTTGAACTCCAGTGAGGCAATTTACTCTTTCTGTACTGGTTACTCTTTTCTGTCAGGTAAATGTACTTCAAATAGAGGTGTCCTCAATTTCTGCATTTCTGCCATAGGATGCTGCACGATGAGTCTAGTTTTTGACCGACGGTTTTACAAAGATGCAAATATCATAAATAAAAATATTAGATATGATCTAACTGTGTGACAAAACCCTGTTCTAGATAGTGTTAGAAAACGTGTATTTAAGTATCACTCTGGTCTGTCGCTCTTTGTTTGTTGGGTCTGGATGGTTCTGGCAAGGACTTGCAGGTTTTTTGGGTCAGCATCTTTATGTAAAACATCATTCACCCTGTTTCATTTCTGCTACTGCAACATTACAGAGACACAAGGACGATGATTAAATGAAAGTATTTACTTCATTTTGCAGTAATGATGTGTTTCAGTGTAAACGTGTTCATTTCACGTCTTAACATGGGAGTTTATGGACCGACTCACTTTTGGAGCCTGCCTCAAGAGGCCATTAGAGGAACTACAGTTTTTGGCATTACTGCACTGGCTTCACTTTTCAGCCCTGGAACAGGTTGCCACTTGTTCTCTACTCATGCATTACTTTGTCTCTTATGCTCTCAGTTTCACCACATATACTCAGAGAGGAGCACACGAAATGAAGGTGAATTGACATAATGGGCCATGACAACAAATAATTACAGGCCAATGCAGGTCAATCATCAACTCCTCAAAAGGAGGATGGCTGCAGTATCAGGTGGGACTAGTTAGTCTGTTACTCCGTTTCAGAAGTTCATTAGCAAAAAAGGAAACTCCTGTAACGAGCTATTTCACGGCATCAAACGCTCTCTGTAAAACCCTGGAACCTGTTCAATGTGGAAAATGTTCCATGATTAACACTTTATTGTAATGTCACTGCATGACTGAGACTTGACAGCAGAATCGGGTGAGAGAAACCTTCCTCCAGTTGATCAAAGCTGTTTTATTAAAACTCTGCAGCTTCAAAATGTTGCGTTTAACTTAAGAATGACCGCTGCTGTTCATCTGCAGCAATCCAGTCAAGCAGGCTGGGAGATGCTGAAGTACAGGATTACTTTTCCCAATAAATTCAAGCATAACATTAGTAACCTATAACATCTTGCATGAATCTGAACTGTTGCTGCAATATAACTGAAGTAATAATGGGCACTGATTCATCTCTGATGGCTTAACAAGTCTTTTGGCTCAGTGTGCAAAAAAATGTAATTCATGTAAACAAAAGGCTGTTTAATAAGCTAATAAGTACAGAGCATGGTTGAGTAAATATAATCAATATGTGGGGCATCAGTAACATAAATGTTTAGAATAACTTGGTTGCTGTGATCTTTTTCATGCAAAGCTAAAACAACATTAAAAAAGAGTTTCCTGGCAGGAGGGGCCCAGGTGGAGCCTGCTTAGCAGAAGGAAGCTACAGTACAAACACGAATGTGAAGGTGTTAAAAAAGTGAGCTCTGACCAGGCTGGTCATGTTGGCGAAGTCACGGTGCCTCAGCGTCGTAATGAAGTTGTCCATCAGCCTGAGCTCAGCCGTCTGGCGGTCAATGTTGGGCGGAACGAAGAGGAGGCCTGTCTTGGCGCAAAGCACCGTGTAGGACGGCAGCAGATTCTGGCACGTGCACCGCTTCGGACACAGCATGGACGAGGAGCAGGAGGGGAGGGAGGACAGGAGGATGAAGAGGAGAGGGCAGACCAGCAAGGAGATGATATCCATGGCTGCTCTCCTGCTGCAACAGAGAAATTAGGAACACATCAGTTCATGCAGCAGCACACACTCAAGTATCAAACTGGACTTAAAAAACACCCAGCAGGGGACAGAAATGACTTCCAGAGCTCACACGGAGCACCAAATTAAGAAAAAAAACTGCACTTGATCCAAATCGGCGCTCCTTGGTTTGATTTAAAGGGTTGGTTATTCAGCAAAGACAGTCAAACACTGCAGGATGACTCTATAAATGATTATTCATCACTGCAGAAAACACGCTGCTTTTCTTCTTTTCTGCTTTTTTTTGGCCGTACACAGCAACAAAGCAATATTTCTTTTATGCATCTTTTTCCACAAAAAGTTTCAAGAAAAGAAAAGTTTTATATTAAAGGATAGAGGAGACAAGAGATAGATGGTTAAGGAGATGGGAACAGGAGGGGAATCAGAGACGCTGAGGTAAATGAAAGAATTTAAGAGCATGTTATTGCAGCACTTTCCCTTTTTTTTCGCTGAGTAAGTTGTCCTGGGAAAGTGAAAGTAAACAGCATGCATACGACCAATTAACCTCAGCGCACTCTTATGATTGCAATCTAAAGAGAACATTAAAGAACACAAATTACACAGTGTGCAGTTGTCTGCCTCACTTCATAAATTTCAGAGATGTTTTTGTGCATGAAAATGAGACCAAACCAAGTTTCCCAGCCATGGCAATAAAGGAATACATTTACATTCATATTGATTTCGCTGTATGTTTGTAAGTTCAACTCGGCGGAGCCCTGAATAAATTCATATGAAGAGAAAAGGGAAACACACAAAAGCGGGAATGACACACGCAAAGGAAAATCATGAGAACGCACACACTCATTCATGCATGCGTGCGGACTCCCGCATGTGCACACACTCTGAAAAGTTCTTCTGAGTTAGATGCCGAGCGACTGGAGGAAGGTCGATTGCAAATAACAGCGGAAAGAGACGCGCTCTTTTATTTATGGTGCAGAAATATTCAAACTGTGCCTCAGCCTGCAGCACAGAATACAGAAGAGGAAGCGTCTGTGTCCTCATAACATGGTAGAGTGCAGGATACGGAGTTAAATGTGAGCAACTAATGAGATAGATGTAATGGAATGAGATAAATTCAATGGAAATGATGAGGAGAATTCAAAACCCAACTGAGACTACACCCAAATGTCAATGGGTAATTCAGGAGTGTGCACACGATGGGAATTCAAGCGTTCAAACAATAATGAGCGCCGACCGGCGCTCACAAATTTGTCACGTGAATGAGAATCTCAAAGACGTTTGGCTTGGCTCAGGGTAAACGAAAAAGTTTCATATGTTGTATCTGTGACTCATCCAACAGAAGGGTTTCATTCATTGACCAGGAAGTCCTGCTGATGTCAAAATGTCTTTAAAAGGAGAGACCTGGCCGAAGCAGCAGCAAACACAGCGTGACAGTATGAGCATGTGCCTCCTCGAACCACATACATTCAGATCTTTATGGAAATATATTCCACGTCCAAGATGTACATTAACAATACGTGCATATGAACAGCATGCATGAAAAATGAAGCTCAAAGAGGAGCATGGCTTGGAAGTTTGTTTCAGTTTTAACTATCACAGAGTTTCCTGCAAGTTGTCAGTGACGACCAAATTATAATAAATGTAAAGGTGTGAGAGAGAGCATAGAGATGCATGATACACTGAATCAAATGTGTTTAAGTGTTATCAGAACAGAAATGCGCTTCCCTTTTTTGTCTGGACCCTTTTTTAATTTGCAGTTTTAAAATGGTTTTGATCTTTGATGGAGGACAGTCCAACTCTACAGGCTTGAACTTGACAAAAAAAGAATTGAATTCAAATGGTCACCCATACATATGCAACCTGTTCTCATTCCTAGGGCATGAGCACTTGACATGCTGGCTGAGGGAATATTGGACACCGAGAAGGAATGGTCCACTTGTTTGGTTCAGCAAAATATGCTTGTTTTTGTTAAAACACACATTAACAACATTAACATTTAGACTGGATTCTGAACTCCCGGCGCAGATGCCAAGTAGCACCTTGTGGTTGGTTGTTGGCGTTTTAGAGAACAGCAGTAATTGATGCCTGGGAGAGAGGACGAGCTGTGAAAAAGCATTTGCCCTCTTTTCCTGATTTTTGGATAAAACATGTAAGCGTGACAAATATTGTCAGGACCAGTGAGTCCACCTCTGAATGGGTCAAAAATACAAATTGAATGGTTTTGGTGTGGCTTAGTCAAAGTTTGGACTTAAATCCGATTGATTTTTTTTTAACTTTAGGCTTTAAACTGGCCGTTCATGACTGAAAACCCTCCAATGTGGATAAATTAAAACAAGTCTGCAACTACGAGTCAATCAAAATTCCTCCACTGCGACGTGAAAAGGCTCATCGCCGATTATCAGAAAAACTTGACCGCACATTTTCCACACAGTGGCAGACAGGTCTGAGGAGCTCTTTTGCGCAGCGCTGTATATGTGCTGGACACATTAAACACAGAACACTGTTGGTGTGAGGCAGAGGTGACCAATTATCTCTACTGTTTCAATTTGTTTACAGCTCGTTAATATACACTCTTTCGTACTTTTGCAGGTTTTTCAGGTGCCGTAAGATGTTGGGTCTCTGAAGAGCACTGGTGCTCTGAGAACAGATTTAATTTGTTTAGTCAGGCCAGCTTAGCGTGAGAAAAATGCAAAACAGTTCTTTTTCAGACTACAAGCACTTCTCAATCTCCGTCGCTCTCTCTCCTCTTTTCATCACTTGCTTCTCGACTGAAAGTGCTTCTCATTTCAATTGCATTGCCTCTTTTTTCCATCCTTCTACTTATCTTTCTGCCTGCATCATCCCATCATCCCTCTCTCAAACCCTTTTCAGCTGTTTCCTGTCACCTCTCACTTCTGAGACTGCAGACATGCCTTCATTCCTCTTTCCTCCCATCCTATCATCATTCTCTTCCTCCATCTGCATCACTGCCTCTATCCATCCTTCTGTCTCTCCATTTTCATCCCTGGAAGAGCATTTACTCATCTATCTCTCCACATGACTTACATGTCCATCCCTTTCCCCTCTGTGCATCTCTCTCAACTCTCTTTGATCAACTCCTTCTTCATCCATCTATCCTTACCACTAATTTTTCACACTGTCATCCTCCTGTCATCTCCCCTTCTATTCATCGCCTTTGCGTCATTCTCTTCCTCATATTTAAAAATAGTATGTTACATGTTTGGGATCTGCTGCTTGCAAAATAAAAGGCACGTGTTGAGCAACATGGCCTCAGATGATAAAGAAATATGCAATTTAACATTAAAATGATCATTTGTATGTTGATTGAACTTCATGGTTTGCCGATCAGACCTGAGTTAAAGTGACCTTCAAAGAAGTAGGAGGTACTATTGAGAGCAGCGGTACTTCTACTTGCCTCTAATTTGTTTTGTTTGGACCTTGGGATAAGATCTCAGATATGGTCTTGAAATTCTTACCAATCACATCTTGGCATCTTGGTTTAGCGTGTTAGTGTGAGGCTATCGAGTTGCAAACGCCGGGACTGTAAAATGAAGCCTAGTCAGAAAAAACTGCAGTTCTTGGTTTGGCCACATGAGGCTGCCTCATGTGTCTCCCACGTTAAATGACCAAATTTAACAGCGTTAAGCAACACATTTACCACCTGATACAAAAGAAAACCCCCTGCTAGGCATGATCTCAGCGAATTTGAGATGCCGAATACATCCACCATTTTCAAAACAACCTGTAGTGCTGCAGCTTTGAGCTGCATAATAACTCTCATTCCAACATGCTCCTAATCAGGATACTTGCTAATTAAAAAAATGATTATGACGATGAAAATCATCATGATGAGCCAAAAGTTTCAAACTGTAGTAAAATGTTTGAACCTGAAGAAGGTACAAGTGGCTGGAGTCTATCGCAGCTATCACAGGGCAAGAGGCAGGGTACACCATGGTCGGCAGTCTGTCGCAGGGCTAACACTGACAACCATTCACACCGTGGCAATTTAGAAGTACCAGCAAACCCAACTAACTGCATGTCTTTGGATTGTGGGAAGAAGCCGGAGCACCCGGAGAGAACCCACGCAAACACGGGGAGAACATGCAAACTCCTCACAGAAAGACCTGAAGGTGGAGTCGAACTCAGGACCATGAATGTGTGAACCAATTTATTAATGAATTTTCACTGGAAAACTCGACAAAATCAGTGGGATGAAATCTCAGGGAAGTGCAAATATCTATAAAAATGTCTTTTTGCCAGTCTATCCAACCAAATTTTGAACGTCAGAGCAACCTAATATTCCTAAAATGCCATTATTCTTTTTGCTCCAAGACCACCTCTGCAAATGTCACAGCTTTGTAAAGTGGTGAAAAATCCTACTAATTATAGTAAAATATGGTAGTGGGATAAGCTTCTCTTTGGGGAACTCTAAGATGCGCTCAAGCATGCGGTTCATGGTTGTCAGCATGCAAACCATCAGCTGTTCCTAAAGCTGACCAAGTACTTTTCTTTCCTAAAATACTTTTCATTTCTTTTTCAGTTCAGTTTTATTCATATAGCACCAAATCACAACACCACAGGTGCTTCACATTGTAAGGTTTAAACGTAAGGTGTTGATGTCTCTAGAGTATTTTTTGCATTAATATTGTCAATGAACAAAGGAAAGCTTTGACTGTGTGTCACATACATTTTGTCATTTATGGTAAAAAAAAAGTGCCTAAAGAATCACAAGAGTGAGCAGAAATCACACAGAGAAGTCACAGAGAATAGTGTGGATGTATAGGCTGAAGAAAGAAATAGAGGAAAACCATTGAGTGGGTGGGAGCTTGATGAGAGGACAAGAGCAGAAGTTCCTTTTTCCAACCAGCTGGTGGAGATGTTTAGCTACAGCTTCAGAAACATGAGAACACACACGCCTGCAAGTGCACACACACAAACATGCAGACTCAGGGCTGAAGCAAAGTCAGGCCACTGTGCTAAAGCGATGTGTATACTGCAGGA